TCTCTCTCCCTCTCTCTCTCTCTGCCTAGTGAACGTAATATATCTCAGTCTGTACATGTTTATCTATCTATCTATCTATCTATCTATCTATCTATCTATCTATCTATCTATCTCAGTCTGTTCCTTTTCTATCACACTCTGTTCAATATCTATCTATCTATCTATCTATCTATCTATCTATATCTATCTATATAGCTAGCTAGCTGTCATGTCTGTCTGTTTATCTATATGTCTATCACACACTGGCATATCTATCTATCTATCTATCTATCTATCTATCTATCTATCTATCTAAGTCTCTTTATATCTATCTATCTATCTCAGTTTTTTTCATCACAGCCTACTTATATCTATATATTGTAGACTGTTATCTATCTATCTATCTATCTATCTATCTATCTATCTCAGTTTGCTCATATCTATCTTAGTTTGCACATATGTATTTATCGCACTCTATTCATATGAACAGGGCGCGATTGGTAAATTGTCGCCATTTTATATTTTTAATTTCCCGCATGCTTGTTGCTTGTTTATATTTTGCCAACAGCCCAGTATAGTAAAGTTAGTTGAGCACCTATCTATCTATCACACCAAGTCGCCATTCTCTTCGCCCAAAATTTGGAAGTGACATGTTGAACTGCTTGGCATTCGCATCGGAAGCTCCTATACGGACATTTCAGAGTGTTTGGGTGTCAATCTGAGGACAGTGCAGGGGATTCAGAAAGAGTTGGATGAGTCTCATGGTGATTACGAAATGGTTTGGTGTGATCACTAGTGATAGCAACAATATGTCTCCATTCATTTTCCCACTGGGCCTCAAACTCAACACGGAAGCCTACATCAGGTACCTGCCGCTCTTGGTCAATCCCATGAGCTGATGAAAGTGCAGGACTCTGCACCATGCCACACAAGCTGGAGAACACAGTCATGACTGTCAGACAATTTCTGCGACCACATTACCCCTTACATCTGGCCAACTAACTCCCCAGACGGCAACCCCCTTGATTATTATGTGTGGGTCGTTGTTGAGCGAGAGACAAACAAGACTCTTTGTAACACCAAAGATGAACTAAAGACAAGGATTATGGCAGTATTACCCAACTTAAAAATTGAGACCGGCCAGAAAAGTTGCAGGAGATTCCGAAGTCTTCTGGAGGCCATGGTTGAAGCCAATGGCGATTTTATTGAATAAATTTACTCTTTAGTATTTCTAGATATTTTTGTGTCATTTTGGTAAGTATATCTGTTAACATGAGATGCCCGTGTAATTTGGACAACATAACAAAATGTATTTCTGTATATATGTATACTGAATATTGCATATCTGATTCGTTATCGTTTGTTGAACGTTTAAAGAGCATACAGCTTTGCTCTGATACTGATTTTATGTGCTCATTTGATGTGTCCAGTCTATTTACTAACGTACCATTAAGGGAGACTATTGTGCAGACTCGTTATATGAAGGTGACATTACTCCACCTCCTTTTCCGAGGGATGTATTTATTGAACTTATGACACTTTGTACTAGTTCTGTGGAGTTTAGCTTTGATAATGTCATGTATTGGTATTAGGTTGGTGCAAAAATAATGACGTAATAATGTTGACGTAAAAAAATACGTCAAAAAACGATATTATTACGTCATTACTTTTGCACCAACCTAATAATTGGATGGGGTCCATATGGGTAGTCCCCTTGGCCCTGCGTTGGCTGATATTTTTGTAGGCTACTACGAGTCGTTGCTCTTTGGCAAAGTGTCTAAACCTTTTATTTATTTCAGGTACGTTGATGACGCTTTTGCTACTTTTTCAAATGAAAGTGAGGCCGTAAACTTTTTTAATAGGCTTAACTCCTTACACAAGGCTTTGTCCTTCACTATGGAAGGACAATTGTTCGCCTTTTTTGAACGTTGTTGTTGAGTGTAGTAAAAGGGGGTTTTCTTACAAGTATTTATCGTAAACCTACTTTTACTGGCCTGTATATGAATTTATTAAAACCTTGGTGTACAGGGCACTCAAAATTTCTTCTCCTACGAGACTGGAATCTGAATTTCAGAATATTAGGGAGATTTTCCTTAGTAATGGCCATCTGGAAGCCCTTATTAATTACATTATTAATAAGAAGACTAGGGAATTTCAATTTCCTAAAGTCCAGGGGCTTTCTAAATGCCCGGTTTATTTGAAGGTTCCTTTGATTGGGGATAAGGGCCAAAGCTTAGTTAAGCAAGTCATCAAATCGGTTTCTGGTTGTTTTTCCCTCTGTTGATATGCGTTTTATTTTTCGGACTAGGTTTGAGTTTCTATAGTTTAGCAAGGATGAATTGCCCTACATGAAATTAAGTAATTTGGTAGATGAATTTAATTTCCAGTGCGCTGCTGGTTATGTGGGGCGTACAGCCTTGCATTTGGAAACAAGAATTAATCAACATGTACCTTCTAAAATATGACATAGCAAAATAGATAACATATGTTATCTTCCCTCTACAAATATGGAATCGGCTATTGCTCAACACCTCGTAGAGAATATAGCCTGTGCCAAGTCGTATACGAAAGAGTGGTTCAAAATTATTCACATAGCTGGTTCCAACAATCATTTGAAGATTTTGGAATCAATCTGTATAGGATTACGGAAACCTTCTCTTTGCCGGCAGAAGGATTTTGTGAAGTCCCTTAATTTGTTGGGGGATATTTTACTTTAACTGTCCCTCGCTAATTATTTACACGTGATTTCCCCTCCCCTCGTTATAAATATATATATACTTATATGTTACTGATTTTAGCGTGTTTACCCCCTTTTTTGCTCTTCATTTTCGTCGTTGTTCTTTTCGTTTAATTTATCAATTTAAATTTTTCCCACTTGTGACGAATGCAGCTATCGATTTTTTTTGCATGTTAGCATGCTAGTTAATATTCGTGCCAGTCAGCTGTTGGCTCTCACGCTGGCCAGTAGAAAATGGCCGCAAGCTATATGAAAACTGCCATAGAAGCATGAAACAATCGATTATATCCACTATCGATGGGAGTTGGGAAATGCAAAGTCGATCTTGGCCTTTCCACTATCTTGGAGCATGTGCATTTAAATTTTGGTGCAAATCCGTCAAAAATTGCGGCCGTGCATTCGTTACACACACACACACACACACACACACACACACACACACACACACACACACACAGACATCCTGCCTTTTACAGATAGAGATAGATTCTGAAGAGAAAAAATTGTCTCAAACAACATAGTGAACCAACTTTCTTAGCAGCTGACTTAGCAATAGATTTAATATAGTCTTTTCACTTAATGTCAACTGAGAACGTTAGCCCGAGAAGGCACAATATTCTAAGTATGGACAAATGGTAGACTTATAGATATGTAAGATAGATTCTGGAGAGAAAAATTGTCTCGAACGGCACAGTGAACCAACTTTCTTAACAGCTGACCTAGCAATGGATTTAATATAGTCTTTTCACTTAATGTCAACTGAGAACGTTAGCAAGAGAAGGTACAATATTCTAAGCATGACGAATGGTAGACTTATAAATATGTAAGATAGATTCTGGAGAGAAAATTGTCTCACACATCACAATGAACGAACCTAGCAATGGATTCAATATATTGCTTCCACTTCATGTCAGCCGAGAAAGTTAGCCTGAGATGACGCATTGAGGCACTCTCCAGGTGTGTGTGGGGGTGGGTAGTTTCAGCCACATTGATGGAAGCAGAAAGGGGTCTCTCTCGACTGATAGAGCAGTTTAGTTTTGAATGTGATAAAATTATCAATCCAGGCTTTCCACCTGTTATCAACAGGATAAAAATCGTTTTGTGCCTCAGCCGCCAATTTAACCTATAAAAAATTTAGTGTAGTATACTTTTCACTATTTACCATATCCTAGGTTCACCATGACTTGGCGTGGTATCACCTGTTAGGGTCCCAGTTACAGGAAAATAGTGAAAAACCAAACAAGAATAAAACTTTATGAGAGGATAAAAATACCTTTTTATACTTTTACTCTACCAGCAAAAATATCTTTTTATATAAAAAGGAATAACACTACATATTTATAGTAAAATTACCAATAATATAGTTTAAAGCATAATAAACAACGATACATTTTATGGTAGAATTACTAACAATACATTTTTTCCAAACTAAATGACCAACAATACATTTTATCTATAGTTAGAGGCATAGAGTTACGTTCAAAATATATTTAGTTGAAGCCATACAATTGTGTTCAAATTATTTAGATTTCGGTATTAAATAATCCATAGCGATGTTGATATGCCGCTAAACAAAATCTACCGACCAACCAACAGTTTTGGTCGTTATCAAGCGTTAGCATATTTTTAATTTTTTTTTTTTTAATCGAAGAATTATTTCTTTAAAATATTATATCTCATGGATAGATTGACCTGGTAGGCTAAAGATTACAATGATTCCACATCGAAGAAGAATTTGGTTTAGGTTGCAAGAGATAGATTTTTTTTTTTCAGTTTATGAGATTTAAAAATGTCCATGACGCGTGGGATATAATACGATCTGATATTACGAAGAGGATTAATACATGGAAGAAGGAATGATGGAATTGAAATGAAAGAAAGGAAATGAAGAAAGAAAGAAAGAAAGAAAGAAAGAAAGAAGGAATTTAAAAGTGGAAGAGGAAAAAAGAAGACGAGAAAAGAAAGGAAAAAGAAGAATTAATTAGAAAAAAAAGAAAGTAAAAACGAAAATGATAAAAAGAAAAGAAGAAGAAAAGAAAGAAAACTTAGCTGAAGAAAAAACAAATGAAAATACGAGAACGAAAACGAAAAGGAAACATTACAATAATGAAAAATACAAGGAAAATAAGAAAAAGAAAAGACAGAAAATTTATACGGAGAAGAAGACCAAAATAGAGAAAAAAAGAAGGAAAGGAAGGAAAAGAAAGAACGGGAATGGTGGATTAAACGAGAAGAGAAGAAAAGAATGAAATACCACAGGGAAAAAGAAATAGAGAAATAAAACTCAGAGAATGAAAAAAAAAACAAAGAAAGAAAGAAAGAAAGAAAGAAAGAAAGAAAGAAAGAAAGAAAGAGAAACCACATGGACAAAGAAGGGTAGGGAGAAAACTACAAAGAAAATAAGAAAAGAAAGAATTAATGAGGAAAAAGAAAAAAGACCATAAGAAAAAAGAAGGAAAGAAAGAAGAACGACAATGAAAAAGAAAGAAAGAAAGAATGAAAAACCATGTAGATAAGAAGGAAAGAAAGAGAAAGCACAAGGAAAAAGAAGGGAAAAAAGAAAGAATAACCATAAAGGAAAAGAAGGAAAGAAAAACCATGAAGAAAAAGAAGGAAACTAAAACCATAAGGAAAAAGAAAGAATTAATGAAGTAAAAGAAGGAAAGAAAATCAGTAAGGAAAAAGAAGGAAAGAAAGAATTAATGAAGAAAAAGAAGGAAAGAAAAACCGGAAGGAAAAAGAAGGAAAGAAAGACAAAATATAAAGGAAAAGAAGTAAAAAAAGAAAAACCATCAGGAAAAAGAAAGACCAAAAGAAAAGCCATGAAGATAAGAAGGAAAGAAAGAGAAAGCAAAAAAAGAAAAAAAAATAAAGAAAAAAAAGAATTCCGAAGAAAAAGAAGAAAAAAGCTCATGAGGATTGCCATTAGAATCTTAAGAGAACAAAAGTCCTCATCATTACAAATTTGCCTTTAGAATCTTATGTGACACTATTTACATTATTCGGACTATTGTCCTCATCTTTGTCGCCATATTTATTACAACATTTCGGCCTTTCAGTATCTGTCTCTATATTTCTGAGATGAGGTATTATGTACACTATTTACATTATTCGGACTATTGTCCTCATCTTTGTCGCCATATTTATTACAACATTTCGACCTTTCAGTATCTGTCTATATTTCTGAGATGAGCTATTATGTACACTATTTACATTATTCGGACTATTGTCCTCATCTTTTGTCGCCATATTTATTACAACATTTCGACCTTTCAGTATCTGTCTATATTTCTGAGATGAGGTATTATGTACTTTTATTTACATTATTCGGACTATTGTCCTCATCTTTTGTCGCCATATTTATTACAACGTTTCGGCCTTTCAGTATCTGTCTATATTTCTGAGATGAGCTATTATGTACACTATTTACATTATTCGGACTATTGTCCTCATCTTTGTCGCCATATTTATTACAACGTTTCGGCCTTTCAGTATCTGTCTATATTTCTGAGATGAGCTATTATGTACACTATTTACATTATTCGGACTATTGTCCTCATCATTGTCGCCATATTTATTACAACATTTCGACCTTTCAGTATCTGTCTATATTTCTGAGATGAGGTATTATGTACACTATTTACATTATTCGGACTATTGTCCTCATCTTTGTCGCCATATTTATTACAACGTTTCGGCCTTTCAGTATCTGTCTATATTTCTGAGATGAGGTATTATGTACACTATTTACATTATTCGGACTATTGTCCTCATCTTTGTCGCCATATTTATTACAACGTTTCGGCCTTTCAGTATCTGTCTATATTTCTGAGATGAGCTATTATGTACACTATTTACATTATTCGGACTATTGTCCTCATCTTTGTCGCCATATTTATTACAACGTTTCGGCCTTTCAGTATCTGTCTATATTTCTGATATGAACTATTATGTACACTATTTACATTATTCGGACTATTGTCCTCATCATTGTCGCCATATTTATTACAACAATTCGACCTTTCAGTATCTGTCTATATTTCTGAGATGATTATTATGTACACTATTTACATTATTCGGACTATTGTCCTCATCTTTGTCGCCATATTTATTACAACGTTTCGGCCTTTCAGTATCTGTCTATATTTCTGATCTATTATTTCTATTTTTACATTATTCGGACTATTGTCCTCATCTTTGTCGCCATATTTATTACAACGGCCTTTCAGTATCTGTCTATATTTTGAGATGAGGTATTATGATATTTACATTATTCGGACTATTGTCCTCATCTTTGGCCATATTTATTACAACGTTAAACCTTTCAATATCTGTCTATATTTCTGAGATGACGTATTACGTACACTATTTACATTATTCGGACTATTGTCCTCATCTTTGTCGCCATATTTATTACGACGTTTCGACCTTTCAGTATCTGTCTATATTTCTGAGATGAGGTATTATGTACATTATTTACATTATTCGGACTATTGTCCTCATCTTTGTCGCCATATTTATTACAAAATTTCGACCTTTCAGTATCTGTCTATATTTTGAGATGAGTATTATGTACACTATTTTACATTATTCGGACTATTGTCCTCATCTTTGTACCATATTTATTACAAAGTTTCGGCCTTTCAGTATCTGTCTATATTTCTGAGATGATACACTATTTACATTATTCGGACTATTGTCCTTATGTTTTCGCCATATTTATTACAACATTTCGACCTTTCAGTATCTGTCTATATTTCTGAGATGAGGTATTATTGTACACTATTTACATTATTCGGACTATTGTCCTCATGTTTGTCGCCATATTTATTACAAAATTTCGACCTTTCAGTATCTGTCTATATTTCTGAGATGAGGTATTATGTACACTATTTACATTATTCGGACTATTGTCCTCATGTTTGTCGCCATATTTATTACAACATTTCGACCTTTCAGTATCTGTCTATATTTCTGAGATGAGCTTATTATGTACACTATTTACATTATTCGGACTATTGTCCTCATCTTTGTCGCCATATTTATTACAACGTTTCGACCTTTCAGTATCTGTCTATATTTCTGAGATGAGGTATTATGTACACTATTTACATTATTCGGACTATTGTCCTCATCTTTGTCGCCATATTTATTACAACATTTCGACCTTTCAGTATCTGTCTATATTTCTGAGATGAGGTATTATGTACACTATTTACATTATTCGGACTATTGTCCTCATCTTTGTCGCCATATTTATTACAACATTTTGGCCTTTTCAGTATCTGTCTATATTTCTGAGATGAGGTATTATGTACACTATTTACATTATTCGGACTATTGTCCTCATCTTTGTCGCCATATTTATTACAACATTTCGACTTTTCAGTATCTGTCTATATTTCTGAGATGAGGTATTATGTACACTATTTACATTATTCGGACTATTGTCCTCATGTTTGTCGCCATATTTATTACAACATTTCGACCTTTCAGTATCTGTCTATATTTCTGAGATGAGGTATTATGTACACTATTTACATTATTCGGACTATTGTCCTCATGTTTGTCGCCATATTTATTACAACATTTCGACCTTTCAGTATCTGTCTATATTTCTGAGATGAGGTATTATGTACACTATTTACATTATTCGGACTATTGTCCTCATCTTTGTCGCCATATTTATTACAACGTTTCGGCCTTTCAGTATCTGTCTATATTTCTGAGATGAGGTATTATGTACACTATTTACATTATTCGGACTATTGTCCTCATCTTTGTCGCCATATTTATTACAACATTTCGACCTTTCAGTATCTGTCTATATTTCCTGAGATGAGGTATTATGTACACTATTTACATTATTCGGACTATTGTCCTCATGTTTGTCGCCATATTTATTACAACATTCCGACCTTTCAGTATCTGTCTATATTTCTGAGATGAGGTATTATATACACTATTTACATTATTCGGACTATTGTCCTCATGTTTGTCGCCATATTTATTACAACATTTCGGCCTTTCAGTATCTGTCTATATTTCTGAGATGAGGTATTATATACACTATTTACATTATTCGGACTATTGTCCTCATGTTTCTCGCCATATTTATTACAACATTTCGACCTTTCAGTATCTGTCTATATTTCTGAGATGAGGTATTGCAGTTATACACTATTTACATTATTCGGACTATTGACCTCATCTTTGTCGCCATATTTATTACAACAATTTCGGCCTTTCAGTATCTGTCTATATTTCTGAGATGAGGTATTATGTACACTATTTACATTATTCGGACTATTGTCCTCATCTTTGTCGCCATATTTATTACAACATTGAGACCTTTCAGTATCTTTCTATATTTCTGTGATGAGGTATTATGTACACTATTTACATTATTCAGACTATTGTCCTCATCTTTTGTCGCCATATTTATTACAACATTTCGAACTTTCAGTATCTGTCTATATTTCTGAGATGAGCTATTATGTACACTATTTAAATTATTCGGACTATTGCCCTTATCTTTATTGCCATATTTTTCACAACGTTTCGGCCGTTTACATCTTACCTGATGAAGGCCGGAGCGTATAACAGCCGAATCGTATTGATGTAAATAGTGTCCTTTTTTATACATTCATAGAGTTTTGATCCCAGTTTGGGGATTAACTATTTACCTATAACTGTGACCCTAACAGGTGCTACTCACTCTGCTTTGAGTGGATCAGGGTTCCACGTTGCTGTTGGAATCTTACGAAAACATTGTCTGGCACGAAACAGCGAATTATTATTTAACCAAATTCATATAGCAAGATGGCTATATTTGAACAGACAAGATCGAGCAGTTGTTTCCAATCTGTTTTGGACCATGCCCCACTTTGGTACTTCTAAAATCCTTGTGCCCTCCCTTGTAATATTTAATTCTTACATATTCAAAATTTTACTGCAGTTCACGTGAAGGAAGCTTAAAGGGCCATTAACTTGGTCTCTAAATAAGCCTCCAAAGACCATGACGTCCATGAAAGAGAAAAATTATAAAAAAAACCCAGAAAAACAGTTGAAATATATATATATATTTTATATATATATATATATATATATATATATATATATATATATATATAGAGAGAGAGAGAGAGAGAGAGAGAGAGAGATTCAAAACATATAATAGAGAACTGAAATGCAGAAATATAGAATATTTAAATGAAAGCTTATTCATACTTTGATCATTTTAATACTGAAATAATAATGCAAAATGAAATTTGAGCTGACTAGAAAACAATTCACTGTTAATAACTCATTCTTGAACTGCCCCCCCCGCTTATTCTGTTATTTCTGAAATCCTTAAAAACCTCGTAATATTTAATTCTCACATATTCAAAGTTTTACTGCAGTTCATATGAAGGAAGCTTAAAAGGCCATTAACTTGGTCTATAAACAAGCCTCCAAAGACAATGGCGTCCATGAAAGAGAAAAATTGAAAAAAAAAAAAGACAGTTATATATATATATATATATAGAGAGAGAGAGAGAGAGAGAGAGAGAGAGATTCTAATCATATAATAGAGAACTGAAAGGTAGAAATATAAAATATTTGAATGAAAGCTTATTCTGTAATATACTTTGATCATTTTAATAATGAAATAATAATGCAAACTAAAATTTGAGCTGACTAGAAAACAATTCACTGTTAATAACTCATTCTTGAACTGACCCCCCCCCTTATTCTGTTGGTATAGTAAACCAAAGGATGGACATCGTATGCATGCCACACCAAAATATTATTGTGTGCCCCATGTTGGGAATCATTGATCTTTAAATTCTAATCACTAAAGGTCAAAGGATCTGATTTGTTATCAAATGAAGACGACTAGCTAGAAAATAAAAGAACTATGGTCAGAAGTCGAAAATATGAATTCACAAAGAAAATCGGGAATAAATGCATCAGAACAGACATGGCAGACATAAAAATGTACTATGAAAAAAAAAACAGAAAAAAACACGACAAAGAAACTTTGGCAAACATATTCAGAAAAACTCTGAACCTTAAATAAAATAGTAAATCATTCCACAGTTTCATAATGTGAAAAAGATTAATGTCTACAAGAAGAGAATATACTAACATGTCAAAAAATATATCATCTATATGGACTTTGCAAATATCTTACATCAGAAGAAAAAGGAACAAAAGAATTAATTTCTCATCAAATCCAGTGGTTCCCAACTAATTTTGGGTCATGACCCACTTTGGTATTTCTAAAATTCTGGTTACCCCCCCCTGTAATATTTAATTCTTACATATTCAAAATTTTACTGCAGTTCATATGAAGGAAGCTTAAAAGGCCATTAACTTGGTGTCTAAACAAGCCTCAAAAGACCATGGCGTCCATGAAAGAGGAAAATTTTAAAAAATAACAAAAAGGCAGTTAAATAAAGAACTGAAAGACAGAAATATAAAATATTTGAATGAAAGTTTATTCTGTAATATACTTTAATCATTTTAATCATGTAATAATAATGCAAAATGAAATTTAAGCTCATCCCAAAATGATTGTTAATGAGATCCTTGTGCGTCACGCCTGCTACAGATCGATTTTAGATTAGGCGCCAATTTAGTCAGCTTAAGTTCTCAAGTCGCCTCGTTTAGTGATATCAAGTCGATTTCTTTTCTTCAATAACAAATCATTTACGACACTAAAGCTACATTCAGCTAAATATGAAGATGGAAATGGTGACAACAAATTTCTTGAAACGGTCGTTGAAACTGATGGCTCATCACTTTACAGCTCAAATGGCTCAAATGTAACCGTAAGTTCTATGCTAACAGTTTCTTCTATCACGTATCTTCTTTGTGGAACCCTGTTTCTTGTTTATTGATCCCAAGTCAACTTCAAAAATGTAAATGCAATGTCAATTGTTAATTTCTGTCTTCTTAATTCTTGTTCTTTTATTGTCCTCTCTCCTTAATAGTGTTTTCTTTTTCTCATATTCTCAATTTGATCTTCAGAAATTTAAATGCAATGTCAATCGTTATCTTCTGTCTTCTTAATTCTTGTTCTTTTATTGTCCTCTCTCCTTAATAGTGTTTTCTTTTTCTCATATTCTCAATTTGATCTTCAGAAATTTAAATGCAATGTCAATCGTTATCTTCTGTTAATTCTTGTTCTTTATTGTCCTCTCAAAAAATTTAGTTTTTTTTTTTCTTTTATTCTCAATTTGATCTTCAGAAATTTAAATGCAATGCCAATCGTTATCTTCTGTCTTCTTAATTCTTTTGTCTTTTATTGTCCTCTCTCTTTAATAGTGTTTTTTTTTCTCATATTCTCAATTTGATCTTCAGAAATTTAAATGCAATTTCAATCGTTATCTTCTGTCTTCTTAATTCTTGTTCTTTTATTGTCCTCTCTCTCCTTAAGTCTTTTTTTTTTCTCATATTCTCAATTTGAAAAAAAATTGAAATGCAATGTCAATCGTTATCTTCTGTCTTCTTAATTCTTGTTCTTTTATTGTCCTCTCTCCTTAATAGTGTTTTCTTTTTCTTATATTCTCAATTTGATCTTTTAAAATTTAAATGTCAATCGTTAATTTCTTTCTTCTCAATTCTTTGTTTATCGTTCTTTCTATGTAATAGTATTTTCCTTGTGTCTTAGTGGCTTTATTTTCTTGCTTGAAATGATTTAAAAACTAATGCGAAAATGAAAAATGTTAAGTTATTGATTGGTGGAAATACCACAGCGGAAATTACGAGGAAGTTGTACAGAAATCAGAGACCAGTAAACAAATATTTGAGAATAACAACAAGATATAAATAAATTCAGGAGGAGCAATCTGGGATTGAATTACAAGCGGAACAAAACAAACTACGAAATGGAGAATTCGACATGTGAACAGCCAACAAATACAGATATTTAAATATCTGGGAAGTTGTTTTCTTAATAGAGGATGCAATATGCACACAGAAAATTAAACGGGCGTTGGAACAGCGAAAGTTGCCTTCTAGAAGCTGAAGTATAAGAAACTATAATCGCTCAGAAAAGCTTCGATATATTGATTTGCAAATAAACAAGCCAATACCAAAGGGGGAAAAGGTATAAAAAAGAAAGACCCAAGAACATGTACGTTAACCGAAAATAATCGTCCAGCATACGAGTTCAATGCTCAAAGAAAAAAAACCCGATGCGAGTACCCAAAACAACTAAATAAAGTGCTCAATACAATGAGTAGAGCAGACCTAGTTAAACCTAGGCCGGCCTTGCCTGACGATCCGTTTAGGTGAAACCTTGGTAGGTTTGTCTGGCTCTCTAGGATTATATATATCTTATATTATATATATATTTCGTGGGTAGAACGTTAGAACGTTCATTATCTGTCCATGGGACCCGGGTTCAAATCTCACCACGGTTGACTTACTGATGTTATCGGGGACGATCCCAGCTTACGTCACCTTTGGAAAGTGCTTTAAAACAATACAACAGATTGACCCAAGCCATCTGAGTGAAATTAGGTAGACGGAACATAGCGGGCCCGTCGATAGCTGTGCTAGCACGAAGTCACAAGTCACTGTGACCGAGAGTTTGAGTGTGCTGGCTATGTTCAGATTGTTGATCACACTAGGTAACACACTATGCTCAGCATAGTTGCCATATAAATCACAGGTGGGCCCTGTGGGTGTTGAGCAAACACACAAAATAGGGATTGGCTAGCCTCCATAGTAGACAGATATCTTTGAATGCGATATATATATATATATATATATATATATATATATATATATATATAAATTAAAAGAACTCCATCTTATTCATGGCTTTCATATGGTTTTCATTAATGCCAACAACTACAGTATAACTTTGTTATGATCGGCACCTAATCCAATAATGCGTAAAATTTCTAAAACATGGCCTCATTCTGCATAGCCTTTTCATTCTTGAATAATATAAATCAATAACAAATATTAAATTCAGAGTTAGGCCGGCCAATTCGCGGTTCATCACCGCCCGTCTCCCGATATAGAATTTCCATCTTTCAAAACGGATGTAATAGCGTGGTTCTGCATACAAACTCTCTCGGATACAATGGGACCTGTTTGCATTTTACAGTGCCTTCTTGAATCCGATGTCCAAGGGTAATGGATGGGGGGATTGGGCAAGAAGTAGGGATCTGAAGGTGTCATCATTTGCTCACAGATGGAGGGGGGTTAATCCAATTAGATGCGTCATAAAGTATTGGACAATCGATAGAGGAGCGATGAATGGGATAGATAGATAGATAGATAGATAGATAGATAGATAGATAGATAGATAGATAGATAGATAGATAGATGTGAATAGACTGAGATAGATAGATAGATAGATAGATAGATAGATAGATAGATAGATAGATAGATATGAACAGACTGACTTAGATAGATAGATAGATAGATAGATAGATAGTGAACAGGCTGATAGATAGATAGATAGATAGATAGATAGATAGATAGATAGATAGTGAACAGGCTGAGATAGATAGATGTGAATAGACTGAGATAGATAGATAGATAGATAGATAGATAGATAGATAGATAGATAGATAGATAGATGTGAATAGACTGAGATAGATAGATAGATATGAACAGTCTGATATATATATATATATATATATATATATATATATAGATAGATAGATAGATAGATAGATAGATAGATAGATAGATAGATGTGAATAGACTGAGATAGATAGTGAACAGGCTGAGATAGATAGATAGATAGATAGATAGATAGATAGATAGATAGATAGATAGATAGATAGACTGACATAGATAGATATTATTCATAAATAAGTAGATTAAATTTCTTGATATAATAAAACCTGACATAGCAAAAACAAAATATTAACGATTTTTTCATAAGACGAACGCAACTCGATACACTGTACCTACAAATATATGTAAATCCTTAAAAATTTATTCCTCTTAATAAAGTCTTTCTATAGTCGGAATGTAATTAGTGTAAACATTTGTTTGACGTATTTTCTTGGTTTTTCTTTTCTTTTCTTTCTTTCTGGTTGAAATTTCGTCGAAAAGAACTAATTTACAGACGAAAACGAGAATTATACGCCTATTTAGAAGAAGCCGTTTAGCGTTTATATAAATTTATTTTCCGCTTTATTTCTCTGAGTCCCAGGGGTTGAACTCACAATTACCAGATTACCAAATATCACGAACCAGCCTACTTGGCTATTGTTATTCTTCACCTCTATCATAATGTAATATCGTAATCTGACTCGAAAACTATATAA